GGAAAAAGGGTGATGGCATTTCCCCCCCAGGGGCAGGCACCGGAACCTTGAGGGCAAGCTTTTCCCCTCCTTTCCGCCCCCGCCACAACAGGATCCATTTTTTTCTACAGCAGTAAAAAGGAAAAAATAATTTTGGGTTTATCCCAGATCCTACCCCGGGGAAATGTTTCCAACGCAACCCCCCCCCCCCCCCCGAAAACCCCCCTCTCCATATCTCTCTCTCCCTCTCTCGTTCTGATTCAAATGACAAATCACTTCTGCTTTTAGAGAGAGGCAGCAGGCGCCTTCGATAGACACGCACAATCTGGCTGGGCGACGCGGGTGAGCTAAATAGGTTGCCTCAGCTTCTTCCATCTAGCGGCGTTGTCGCTTGGGCGTGAGAGCACAAAGCGCGCACCACTGCTGTGTAGGGAGTCTCTCTCTCTCTCTCTCTCTCTCGCTATCTCTCTCTCGAGAATATCAACACACGAAGGCCGGAGGGGTATTCAGGGTACACGTGTTGATGCAGCCGGCGCTGGCGGGGACCCAACAGCAACAAGCAGCACAGCAGCAGCAGCAGCAGCAGCGGCAGCGTTAGGGTGACCGGAGCGGCAACAACAACAACAACAACAGCAGCGAGGAGTGGAAGCTGAGCTACTCGGTAGCGCCGGGAGAGATGCGCAGCGTGGCCATGCCAGAACCCCAACACAGGTATGTAAAAATGGTCTGTGTGTGTGTCTCTTATAGTCAGACGGAAGTCTTTTGTACATTCAGCAGCAACGGCAGGTAGTGTGTAGACGGAGAATGAAGACCGTCTTCCTGATGGTGATGATGATGGTGAGTTTTTTGTTCTCTCTCGCACGTTCTTCGGTGCCGCTCGTTGAACGAGCGAGCAGCGTGTTCTGGCAAGCAGCGTGGAGTTTTTTTTGGTTCTCTGTTGTTGGTGAGGTTGTGGCCCTCAAGGCATGCTGGATGGACACACGATTCCCGTGGATGTTCTGCTTGCCATCACCTTCCGTGTGCGATACCAACAGTCGGAGGGACAGCCACAGAGCTCAGCCTTTGCTGTTGTTGTATTTTCTTTTTTTGTTCTACACACATGCCCAGCCCAAGCGCCGAAACTTTCACTTTCGCCTCACAGACAGCCGGTGCAGTGTACAATTTGTACTGCTGTACCGAGCACTTTGATAGCGGAGACGGCGACGTGATATTTACGGTTCCAAGACACCGTTGTACACACACAGGTTGGTAGGTAACCGAGATGGTTTGGGTGCGCCACCAATCCACTGCTGCTATCACCATGCACGTCCTCCGGTGGCACGTGGCTGCTGTGCTGGTGGTATGGCAGCTCTGAGGATGTGCGGTTGTGCAAGCACAGCTGCACGTATGTACCTTGTACCACATACATTACCCAAGCGCTTCCGCCATCATGCCAAGGATCATTGACTCACATGCTCTTATGTAGGCTGAAACGCTTCGTTGTTCTGTTTTCTACGCGTGCTGCCTGTTTACAGCAGAACACCACCACCAGCGGCAGCACTACTGCTGTACATAGCTACATAGCACCAAACACAGCTTGATAAATTTGTCGACCAAGCCTCGATCGCCGTGCACGTACACACGAGTACCAGTTATACAAGTCGTTCGACGAAGTATCACGCGGCATCGTGGCAACGACAACGGACAGACTTATCAGGAGCAGCAGCGAGCCAAGACACGAAAGACGCACTGCTGCTCTTTGTGGTGTTGTGGTGTCTGCGACGTATGCGTATCTCGTGCAGCAACGTAGATACATATCTCTTCGTCCGTCTCCACCGAGTGTATGGTGTGCGCACACTGTTATTATTCCCCTTGTTGCCACACACGATACATTGTACAAAGAATGTGTTTGCACCAGAATTCCCACTGCCACCACCCCTTTTCTCCCTGTCGCCAGACGCAAAGGATGATGAATGACCAGCTACTTTTTGGTGCATCATCTCTCTTGTTGTGAAAAAGTGTAGGTATGCTACAGCAGTAGCCCGTGGGACGGCGAACACCGGTAATTTATGCTTCATATCGCTCCTTCCCCCGCTCGTAGGGGATGGAGGTCTGCGGTGGTAGTACAACGTAATGCTGCTGTAACGTGTTTTATACGGTACTGCTGTAGGCGTTTTATTTTACATGAGTACTTGCTGCAAACCCTTTTTTTCTTTTGATCTGGTGATATCCTTCGTACAGTACGTACAAGTACTGCTGCATGATAATGTTGGTTTTGTGTGATCCTTCACATTTCCCCCATGTATACATGTGTGGGTACACAGCAGGCGAAACCGTTCCGATCCCTGCCCACAGAGTCAGAATTGGTGCGCACGCCCGGGTGCCGACAGCAGGCAGGCTACCATGAAATAGCTGCATACCGCGGGTGACGCAAGATACCACGCCCCCTGGACAGATTTGCAAAGCTCGACAGTTTACTCC